AGCAAGGCCGCGGGCCCCCCCCAGCAGACCAGGGACACCCGAGCAAAGCCGCCGCCTGGGCGGCTTTGCTCGTTTGCCCAGGAGCAAAGCCGCCCAGGCAGCGGCTTTGCTCGGGTGTCCCTGGTCTGCTGGGGGGGTCCAGAGGCTTTGCTGGGGCCCCCCAGCAGACCAGGGAGACCGGGAGAAGCTTTTCTCAGCCCAGAGGACACGGGTGGCGACCCGCCGCCCGTGAGTTCCAGGGTGAGAAAAGCCCCGTTCGTAAGTGCGGATCCGACATAAGTCGGGGACTGCCTGTATCAGAAATTGAATATCCTAGCTATACCAATCTAACCCAGTGTGGCTGCAGCGAGGCTGATGGAAGAATGCTACTGAGACTTGATGAGGTGGATGGAAAAACCCTCTGTTTTTGTAAGAAGAGTCTATTTTATGTTGAAACTGCATGGTAGCTGAAACACTGTAATATTGTAGCCTAGGCAAACCCTAATTCCAGGTGCAAAATATGTTGAGCATTTGTTTTTGGGAATTCCTGCAAGAGCTCCCAAATGGATGAAGCCCAAGAGTCTTAATTTATAGGATTTACAAGATGCTAAATGCAAACAGAATAAAATTGTTTGTACTACAGGTTCTTCAGACTGGGGAGCTTCTGAGCCAAACCGTTAGTCAGTGTTTCACATTAGATAAAATACTCTCTCTGGAAGTGCAGATTCTGTAGGATTACATTGATTCCACATTTAGTATGTCACTAATGAATTGGCTGATTTGGCAAAATAAAATTATTGGTTTTGTTTCTCTCAATCATTTTAGCAGGAATTTTTCTTTAAGTATCTGCTTCGCCTTTCTGTTGACCTGAATTTTATGCTGCTGTGGAAAACTAATAATGGCATGTATGAAGAAACAAAAGATGATAATGAAATGCTCTGTCTTGATTGCAGCCCTGCTCCTATACTGATATTACACCAGGGAATAGAAAGATCTAGTGATTCCAGTTCTGGGTTGGGTTTATGACATAGCTGCATATTAATGTCACAGTAGCATTCAGGGTCATGTTAATGAAAGCCTGTGCAATTTGCACATTTCTCCGTAATTTTCAATTTTGGGCTGATGCCAAGATGATTTTCCTCCCGTAAGGCTTAAGTACTTAATAGAGGCAGGTAACATTTTTTTCAGACAAATAGCTAAAAAAGCATGTTTGGGTTAGCCAAAACTATTTGTGAAATAGTATTAGATTCATAGAATACTTTCAACCAAACTGGAATAATCAAAACGTTTTGGTAATGTCAACATTCAGTTTTTCAGTTCTATTTTGATTTTCAGGCATTTTGACAAAGCAAATGGAAAGGCACAGGAGTCACAAAATGACAAGAGGCGGTAAAAAGTTTGAGTTGGGGTAGCCGTACTAGTTTGTAGCTTTAAAAACAACAAGGGGGAGAAGGCAGGAACCAGTACCTGTGGGAAGCCACCTTTATGCTGGCTCCCCTCCCCCCATTCTTGCCGCAGAGGGGAAAGGGGACAGGCTTGAGCCAATACGCACGGGAAGCCAGCTGTTAAGTGGCTCTCTGCGCATGCTGACTCTGCAGACCTGTCTGCCCCCCTCTCCCTGCTACTTCTATGGAGGGGGAGGGAGGGCGTGAGCTTAAAAGTCAGCTCCCTCCCTCCACAGCTCTGGCTCTGTGGTGCCACCTTCTCTGCTGCCCCCACCTCCTGTAGACGGGAGGCAGCAGCATAGGGGAGGTGCAGGAGAGGCTGCTCCACAGCAGCAGCCCCTGTTGGTGGGGTGTCTGAGCTCCTCTCAGACAGAAGCTGCTCCAGCTTCTCGTGGAGTAGCCTGTGTCTGTGGGAGGGTCCTCAGAGAGCTTGAACTCCTTCTCTACTGTCCCCCTCCCCCTTCAGACAAGGGCTACTGCTAATCCCTGCTGCTGCCTCTGATACAGTGGCATTGGGCTCCCCGAGAGTGGGGCCAGGAGCACAGTGGCTGCCACCTTGCCCCAGGGACTATTGAATGGTTGCATAACCGCTAAAATTGAATATGGCTACACAACTATTCAATTACCATCTAACATCCTTAGAGTGCACTACCTTCTAGGCTGCAGTCCTTGTCTGTTGCCCTGTATGAATTATCAATAGCAACGAGAATGGATAGCTTTTGGGCCGGGGAGAAAGTGCTTTTAAAGGAGGCATCATCACTACCTTCTCTAACAATTTTGTGAATCTAGCTCTTTTTTTTTTTTTTTTTTTTTAAATACCTGAACTCTGAAATGAAAGTGTTTGGTTTGCAATGGAATGTTTTGACATTACTCTGAAATGTTTCATTTTGACTCAAGGTTTTTTTTGTTTTGTTTTGTTGTTTTACATTTTGATGTTTCTGAAAAAATTGGAAAAATGTCATTTTTTATTTAAAAAAAATCCATTATTCACCAAGCTCTTACATTCAGAGAAACAGCTCAGAGTCAAGCAATAGGAAATGGAATATAATATAATCAAATTAGTGTGTCTAGAGCACTATCCAAAACTGCATTTGGGTTGAAAAAGCTGTGACATCACATGTCAGATGCATACAACCAAATTGCAAGGGTTAATGTTAGTTAGCACAAGTGGGATCTCCTTATTCAAACAGATATCCTTACACTCATTACACGTAATGGGTGAATGGGGAAAATAGTGAAAGGGAAAATATTTTTAAAACTTGTCCCCATCTTTGTTTTTCAAAATGACGTTAAGAAATCAGTATCCATTTGAACTGTAAAGACAGTAGGCGCCTGTAACAAATATCTCTTCTGCTTTGCCTTTCCACATAGCTGATTTTTCTCCTCCTGCTTTGGCTGCACAGCTGTCTCAAGGACAGAAAGGCCATGAAAACCCTTACATCTCATAATTGTTTTTTATTTGGGGATGGGTGGAGGAGGATTAGATTTTATACAATTTTGTTTACACTTGAATTGCTGTTGACTAAATTGGAAGTATTCCTTGACAAATGCCAGAAACAGAGGGGGAGCTAAAAAACAACTGAGTTTTGGCTGAAAGAGTTTATTTATAAAATTTAGTTGTTTCCACAAGGAAACAATCAAAGCTCAGAGGTTGTTTGAGCTTCCTCTTCGCTGGTGATTTTTACATTGAGGAGTTTTTGACCAGCATTCTTCAGCTTGTGGTTATTTCATTTCCCCCGCAGAATCAGAAAGATACAAAATAAAAATGTCTTCAGCTCCCAAACCAATATATGATAGAAATGTAGCCATGTTAGTCTGGTATAGCTGAAACAAAATACAGGACTAACAAGATGGTTTATTAGATGATGAGCTTTCGTGGGCCAGACCCACTTCCTCAGATCAAATAGTGGGTCTGGCCCACTATTTGATCTGAGGAAGTGGGTCAATTGTATCCTTTGGTATATATGGTTGTGACTATTTTCTTCCACTATTTGATCTGAGGAAGTGGGTCTGGCCCACGAAAGCTCATCATCTAATAAACCATCTTGTTAGTCTTTAAAGTGCTACATAGTCCTGTATTTTGTTCAAACCAATATATGTTATCCAAAGCTAACATAAGTATAAGTTTCAGAGGGGTAGCCAAGTTAGTCTGTAACTGGAAAAACTTAAACAACTAATACTCTAGCAGCACCATAGAGATTAACAAAACATGTAGATGGTATCATGAGCTTTTGTGGGCACAACCCATTTCTTCAGATGAAACCACTGTATTAGATCAGACCAATGGTCCATCTAGCCCTGTATCTTGTCTTCTGACAGTGGCCAATGCCAGGTGCTTGAGAGAGAATGAGCAGAACAAGCAATCATTGAGCCCTGGTCTACACTGGGGAGTTATTTCAAAATAACTCCCCTTATTTTGAAATAACAAGCGGAGCATCCACACGATCAAGCCCATGATTTCGAAATAAGAGGCTGGTTATTTCAAAATAACTCCAGCAGAATAACTTTATTTTGAAATAGCTATTTTGGGAATTATTTCAAGAGGAGATCAAGAAATGAACATTCCATAAGCTTGTGTGTCAGTCTTCTGTGGCTTTAGTGAAAGCTGCTTGTAAGATAAAAGGCAAACTGTCAAATATTTCCAGCTATTGAGATTTTAGATTCTTTCAAGTTGCTGATTCAAAAACCACTCATTAAATTTCGTTTCTGTGCAAGCTCAGTAAAGTAACCAAATAGCTTTCAAAAAGAGCATTGTAGAAAATGGAAGCATTGAACAAAACTTGTTTACCTTCTCTAATTTGAAGAATTGACTAGCTATTATGACTTGTCTATTGTTCTGGACTAACTCCATGTGTGAACTCTTATTGTAAAATAAGTGTCCACTTAGGTAGCTAATTAGGAATTGGTTCTGAATTAAAATGGATTATTTATCTTCTTATGGGTTAATTTTCAGGTGTTGACAAACCCTTAACCCATCCTTACACTGCAGGGCCTATAATGGCACTTAGGGTGTAGATTTTTTGCACTCTTGAACATCATAGCTTTGTTAACTTAAATTTTAAATGTGGCTTAGGCCTAAGTATAAAGAAAGGCACAAAGTCCATTCCAAATGTGTCTGCTTCAGTCATATCACCTCTGTGGTATGTGTAGCAGTGGGTGGAGGAAAAATCAAAACAGACAAAAGTGTCATTATTGTTTCGAGTTAGTCTGTATAAGATAAACTTTAAAAACAACAAATAGTCTGGTAGCACTTTAAAGACTAACAAAACATTTAGATGGTATCATGAGCTTTCATGAGCCAGTCTGACAGGAGACAACATAACCTGCATCTCAATTTGATTGTTCCTAGAAATACACGTAGGGCAGCAGAAGTGTGGATGGATGAGTACAGAAACTTCTATTATGCAGCAGTGCCTTCAGCCAGAAATGTACCTTATGGCAAGTAAGTCAGATTTGTTGCTTCTTCCCATTCACTTATTGTGTTTGCCATTAGTAATTTATGAGGGTATAAGGGTGTTTCATTTCTTAGAAAAATATTTGACCAAAATTTCATGTATTAAATGTACTCTTAAAATTTATCAGATGCAACTGCCAGAACTTTGCTGTGTTTGTTTCTCTAGTATTCAAAGCCGAATGGAATTGAGAAAGAGACTTAGCTGCAAACCTTTCAAGTGGTATCTTGAAAATGTCTATCCTGAGTTAAGGTGAGTCTAAAACAGCTTTTCAGTTTTCTAGAAGCATAGGCTCTTGATTTACCTGATTTTGGCCAGAAATTTTACTACATCTCTCCTGCACAAGCACACAGAATATTAGCTGGTTAAAACTTTAAAACATGTCTCTTGCAGTTTTTGCTTACTACTTGAGTTGTGGCTGTTTTCTTCACTGGCTCATCCCTTTTACTTCTGCTTCATATCAGTATTGTAGTTGCATCTTGTGATTCAGTCACTGTGTAGAGGGCTGACTTGCTTGTCTAAAACTGCTGTGTTCATGGGCTAGCTGCCTGCTGGAAATGCATCATTCTGTGTTCTCCTTCAAGCTCTTAGCTTCACCTATGTGGTGTGCTTAGCTCTGTGAGCAGCCTTAAACTTATGTGCCGTTTAGTGAGAGATCCTTCTTTATAGAGTATTCTATAGGTTAACTGAGGTCCTTAGATGAAAACACTTAAGGTACATTGAAGGCCTTGGGCAGAGCCCAGGTCTGAGAATCGTAACTCTCTTGTTTTAATCCAGCTCTCACTGAACCAGTGTTCTTGAGTAGTCCTTAACCTTTATACATCTGTTTTTCTCTTGTATGAAATATTGGGGCCTCACAACCTGACAGGATGATTTGTGAGAATGATTTGAAGATAAAATGTACAGTGAGTGTTGATTTGCTATGTATAATACAGTCTGATTGGTGGATTTCCAGTCACCTCTTCTATAGGATAGAAAAATCTTCACAACTGTATTTTCTTACCCGGCAAAGATTTTAAATCAATACAGACACGATGTTCAATATCCTATCACTAACTCTACCTGTCAAACCGAGAGGTCTGTAAGCTAGTAGCTCTCATACACCTAATCTGATTGATTAAATAATTTTAGAATAGTATGTGGCATTTATGCAGTAGCATATTTCTTGCTCCTTGGAGTTGCAAAACACTTTATAATTAGAACACTGTACTACCAGTATTTATCCCATTGTAAATTTTTTAGGCAAAAGCAGCAGCTACTGTGCCCCCAGTAAAAACACTTTCACAGACCCATATGCATTTAGAACCTGTCTTATTTAGAGGGAAGATAATGGTATTGACATCTGTTATCTCCTGCCCCCCCCCCCCCCCCCCCACCACCAAGC